CAGATCCTGGTTTTGTTCTGCTCCACGATGCAGGTCAATCAGCCGAAATTGCCACTGAGAACTCTGGACCCTCGGATACTGCCTCGAGGACCAGACTTCACACCAGCCTTTGCTGATTTTGGGAGGCAAACCTCTGGTGGAAGAAACGTATCTGGAAGTGTGAGTTTACCCCAACTTGCTAATTTAAAAACTGGCCTTAACACCAATGAAGTCCATCCTCATGCTTTTGGGCCTCTCCCGATGCTCCAGTGGTTCTGGTTTTGTCAGCATGAATGCAAGGGTGATGTTTTCTTGGCTGTCAAAGTTTAGGCAAATTAGAAAAATGTTGCGGATGTTTTTAACTGGTACGTATTGGTCTTAAATGGACTTGATCTCCTTCCCGTTTTCCCTGCGCAAGAGGTGTGGAAACTCATTTCCACGCTGAGGACCTGGCAGTCGCACGTGTGCGAACGCACGTTTCCTATACAACAACCCGGCGTCGGTGCGTGTCGTCAGGAGTCTGGTTTAGAAAACACACCAGTAGAGCAAACAGATTTTACTAACAACAAAACAAAAAAGAATATACACGGTGCCTGTGTGTGTTCTTGCTTTCTCTGTGCTTCCACATGTTGCTTTGCTTCGGTCACTCCATTCCTTGTTTTCCTGCCTTTTCTTCTGCTTTTCTTTCACTTTCTCTTCTTCTCCCTGTGCCTGGCTTTGCCCAAACTCTGAAATCCCTCTGAGTTTTTCCTTCTTGCCTTTGCCATCCCTCGTTCTTGGGGTGCGTGTGCCCCCAGCACGGTGCCGCCCAGTCAGGCGCAGCTGGAGGATGGAGGCTGCCTCCTTTAGGTGCCATCATTGACTTTTCATCTGTCTATTAAGGTACATCCAATGTGTCCATCTAGATATATCTAATGACATGGCCATCATTTATCTTCCAAAACTGCTGCTTCCAGAGGACTCCACTGAATAACCTTGACTTCCAAGTGTGCAGATTTCCAGGAGGCTGGAGTCAAACCCAGCAATTTTGAGTTGATGTGATGTTTCTGGTGTGAGTGCGGCCTCGTGGCCGGTGCCTCGGTTCTGGGCTGCGCATCCGTGTCTTGGAGTAGCTTCGGTGTCGCGGTTTCTCTCAGAGCACCTCCCGGTCCCGAAACCTCGATGCTGTTTGAGGTCGACATCGCTTCCTGTGTTTAGGACTTGCAGGTTGTACTCCGGCGCCTTCGCTCCTTTCGTGCGCTGAATGTTCCGAGCCTCTCGGCGTCTTGGTAACGTCCCTGTCGCTCTTTCTCTTTCCACAGGCCTGCAAAGTGCAGAGCAACCCTGGATTGCCTTCCCTGGCTCGGTGCGGTTCCCCAGCATGCCCTCTCTTGGTCTCGCCTCACCCACCATTGAGGAACCTGCCGATAGGGGTAAGCCAAATCCCCCCCTCTTCCCCCCCAATCTTTGCACCTTTTTGTAGAGTTGTCTTTTTCCCTAACGCCCACTGTTGATAAAGAACGACTGGCAGAAAACTTTACAAAAAGGTGCAACCTTGTTTAAAAAAAAAACGAAACAAGACTTGCATTGTACCCCTCTAGGCAGTCTTCAGTGGTGGGTGGGACATCACCAGCTGAGGGCATGCTGGGACGTTGGCCTGAGCGGGATCCGCGAGGGGTCTGCACTTTGCAGACCTGTGGAAAGGGGGAGAAAAGGTAAGTCCCGCTTACCCCGTTCATTTGGAGCATTCAGCACATAACATACATCTTACATTTGCGCCTTGACAGAGTTGAGCCTTTCTTTGCGTTTTTTTTCTTGAGGAGGGTGGAAGGTAACGTGATTTACGAAGCCTTGCTGTCCTGTGACGTCGGCGGTTATAGGATGAGAGGGTTTTCAGCCCCGAGCAAAATCAGACGTTATCTTCTCGTAAAGCATGGCAAAAATCTGCGTGTGCGCTGTCTGTCCACTCGGTCATTCCACCTCTGCACAGGCCATGCCCATAAACCATTAAACCCCACTGCCTCTTCCTTGCCCTCGAAATAATGTCGAGCAGCTCAGTGCTAACCAGCTTTCGGCACGTTGAGAATCTTTTTTGTTTTGCTTCCTTGGCTTTTGTCTTTATTTCCTTCTTTTCGCTTAAACGTGTTGTATGACTGTTTTTAGAACTAACAAATGTCGCATCAAATGCCGCAAGGGATGTAATTACACAGGGACAAAGTACCGACTAACGAAGGCTTTTTGATGGAGGCGTGAAGTTAGATGAGTGCAGCGGGTAACGAGGTGCAAACACAGAGAAATAGGGTTGGAGAGGTCCGGTCCGTGCCTGCGCGCCGAGACGGAATGCATCTGCTTTTATCCTTCCTGAGAGGCGATGGACACTCCAGTCGCTTCGGTTCTGGAGCTTCCCTGGAAACCAGCGTCGCTCCTAGAGTCTATCCTCGATTTCGCCTTCTGCATTTGAAGCCTGTTGTAGAGGGAGAAGCGGTTCTTTCACTTCTTGGATGTCTTGTTAAAACGTTGCCATGACTCTTGTCCTACGAGCAGAAGCAGACCGAGAGGGAGAGCGCCAGGTCATACTGTGTGCCTGTGAGTTTCTGGTTCTTCTGCAGGAGGCTTGTCCTTCTTTCTTTCCGCTTTCCCCCCAGCCCTTCATCCGTAAGGCAGCTCATTCAGATTAATGTAGTAACATCTGGTGAGCACTTCTCCGTGCTGTCAGTGGAAAATATTATTTCAGTGCAAGCTGGAGCGCTGTAATCGCAGGTGCTATGGAACCATTGTTATTTGCTTGGACTGGGTTACAAAAAGGAGGCCGGGCATGAGCTCAAGCCCCTCTTTAACTTGCCGCTTTGTAAATTTGGAACCAAAAAACCCCAGATTTTTTCCATTAAAAATTTGAGCCATATATTATTTTATTTCATATTCAAAGGAGGCTTCTGTTCACTGCTTTTAAAACCTAGTCAAACAGTTGGAACCAAGTTTATTCACATATATTAAAAAAATACAATCTTAAAGAAAGCCTTTGTTCTATTAATGCACTTAAAGGTCTGGTCCCGAAGGCAGCCCAGTTTGAGGAGGCTGTGACATGTAACATGCTGGCGTTCAGGAGACGCACAGGTTCTCCTTGCATCCGGCACCTTTGCCAGGGAAACGTCACCTCCTTCAGCGAGGGGCGTTCGCTCTGAACCCCAACACTTCGGCTCTGCGTGGACCCGCACCCGAGGGAGCGCC